GTTAAGAACCCGATTCCCAAAGAGGGGTTGGAGGCGATTTGGAAGAAAATGATGGAATTGGATAACATAGACTTTTTTTTCACCCCATATGGTGGAAGGATGAGTGAAATTCCGGCCGATGAAACTCCTTTCCCACATCGAGCGGGAACTATTTTTAAAATTCATTACTCCCTCAACTGGGTGCAAGAGGGGATCGAGGCGGACAATAACCATATGAACCAAATTAGGCAGTTGTATGAATTCATGACACCTTTTGTGTCCAGCTCTCCTAGAGAAGCATTTCTCAACTACAGAGACCTTGACATTGGTATCATTAATCACAATGGTAATAATAGTTACGAGGAAGCTAAAGTATTTGGAGTTAAGTATTTTAAGAATAATTTCGATAGATTGGTGAAAGTGAAAACTATGGTTGATCCAGAGAACTTCTTCAGGAGTCAGCAAAGCATCCCACCTCTTCCACCTCAAGGGAAGTAAATATCAACTACGATGCTTAGTTATGTTTATGATAATTTGTTACTTTAGTTGAAGGAAAAAATATATTGATAATATGATAGTAAAGAACCTGCCATGTTTAAGTACTTTTATTGTGAACTTATATGCTGCTTGCACGATCCAGATTCTTCTGCGTACTATACAAAAGTGGCATTGAAAGAAGTAGTTCTGGTTTATCTCACTTTCTTATCAAAAGTGATGAAATGTTTTGTTGTAGTTGGTGATGAATGAAGAGTTCTCCACCACTTGGTTTGGAAAAAAATGATTGTACAAAAAAAAAAAAGAGAAGAAGAGTACAGCCACACTCTACGACGTTTGATAAAAGGATACTTAGAGAAAATTTACCTATTTTTTAGACAAAGATATCTCGTGAAGGTTTAAAAATGGTATCTCGTGAAGGTTTAAAAATGGACAAAGACACCCATTTACATTAACCAAATTACCCTTTGACCGTCTAGGAAACTTTTTTAATTTTATAATTTAATAAAAATTTACCCTCATGAATAATTTGTGCATAAAAAAAAAGTAAATTTTTTTTTATACTGTTCACTTTATTATGATTATGATTATTATTATTATTATTATTATTATTATTTATTTACTTTATAAATGTCCTAACTTCTTAAAAATATAAACGTCTAAAATGATTTTTTGATTCAATACATATATTTCAAATAAATTGTATTTTGTTATTTAACTTCTTTTTTTTTAACTTTTTTTTTTAAAATTAAGATGCTTAATTCTTTTATCTAAAAAAATTAAATCAATCTCTTTTCCTTAAAAATAAAAAATATGGTACCAATATGACTCTATGCATCTTAAATTATATATCAAATATTATGTATTTCCCAACATAAAAGAAAATAGGTACCAGTATAACTTTATACATCTTAACTTTATGCATGCCTTTGTTTTTTTTTCTTTCCCCCTTTGTTTTATTATTTTTTTTCCCTTTGTTTTATTATTATTATTTTTCCCTTTTATGTTGAAAAATGCATAATATTTGATATATAATTTATGATGCATAAAGTTATACTGGTACCATATTTTTTATTTTTAAGGAAAAGAGATTGGTTTAATTTTTTTAGATGAAAGAATTAAGCATCTTAATTTAAAAATAAAATAGAAAAAGAAAAGAAGTAATAACAAAATATAATTTATTTGAAATATATGTATTGGAGCAAAAAATTATTTTAAACGTCTACATTTTTAAAAAGTTGGGATATTTATAAAGTAAATAACAAAAAATAAATAAATAAAATAAATAAATAAAAAATGAACAATATAAAGTTTTTTTTTTTTGTTATTTTTTTTTTTTTTTATGCATAAATTATTCATGAGGGTAGATTGGTCCAATTTATTAAATTATAAAGTTAAAAAAGTCTCCTAAATGGTTAAAGGGTAATTTAGTTAATTTCTCATGGAAATGGGTGTCTTTGTCTATTTTTGAAACTTCAGATGGTGTCTTTGTCTAAAAAACAAGCAAGTTTCATCTAAGTGTCCTTTTGTCAAACGTCAGGGAGTGTGATTGTACTTTACCTAAACAAAAAATGAGAGGTTGTGGAACTAGTTCTTCAATGTCCTTTTTAAACTTCTGTTTTTTTATAAATAAAAAAAAAACAAAAAAAACAAATTCGTACACACCAGCTATTTTCTTTTTCCTATGGAAACTAGAGCACTCAATCTCCTCTTTGAGGAGGTAACTTATATATACCATATATATATATTAGTGCTCATTGCTAATGACACAGATAGTTAATGGGCTAGTCAATGATATGATTAGAGAAGATATAACTTTTCTTTGCCAGATTACGCATTTCATGACACTTTTTGTATCCAAGTCTCCTAAAGAAGCAATTTTCAACTATAGAGACATTGACATTGGTATCTATCACAATGGTTAATTCAAAGAACTTATTTAAAAAGTGGCGCTTTGGTCATAAAGTTGAACATCAAGTAATAGTCCAATAATGAATGGAGGATACACTGAATTAGTTGCACGAAAAATTATATTCATAATATGATTTTAAGGAACCAGCCAAGGTCCTATCTAGGCATTGGGGCAATGTAGTCTCTTTCAATTCCTTATTTTGACTTAATTTTGAATAATAACTGTCTACTCAACGATTAATAAGAATTTCATTCTCATTATTGATGTGACATAATTATAGAATGACGTGCTCGCTTTTAAATTTAAATTTTTTAAAATAAAACAAAAATAGTTTCTATATTTTCTGCTCTTATTTTGTAATTAAATGTAAAGTGAGACACTGTCATGTTGCAGTCAGTCTAATTCTATTTATCATTATTAATAAGAGCTAACACAATGCACACTAAATTTCCGTCATCGCGAGAATACATGACAATAAGAGCTAACACAATGCACACTAGATTTCATAAGTGACTTAATTTTGTCTGTTTTTTAAAATATATATATATATATATATATATATATATATATAATAATTAAAAAAAATTCTCCAAAGAATGCATGACAGTAAAGTACCTACACTTCCTGGATGAATTTTTAGATCAGAAGTCAAAGTTATCATACCTCCACCAACATTTTTTTATTATTATGAAGTAAAAGAAAATAAGAAAACCAATCATACGGTATTTACAAATTATGAAGTAAAAGAAGAAAAACTGAAAAACATGCTTCAGATTTGTTGAGAAATAAACCAAAACACACCAGCGGATCACTCAGGAAGAAGAGCAGCAATGGGAGTGACTCAAAGGTCACATCATCATCAAGGCAACAGCTCCAAGAGGCACCGCCGAGTGGGAAAAAACCACCCAAACCCCGCATAATAGGCGGGGACACCAAAACTCGACATAAATCAGAGATCTAGTCGAATACAAAACAATAGATCCACCATGTCGAGCCAGAAACAAGTCAAACAGAAACAGATTTAGCAAAAACACAGCAAAAACGGCGTGAAACCCGCCCACCAAGCGAATATATTATATCACGCCAACTTTATTAAGCGGTGGGAGGCAATGATCGGCACCTCCCCACTCCATGGGAGGGAGTGGGGAGCAAATAGAACGGAGAAAACGAAGGACGGCTTTTGAAGGGCTAGAGAGAGGCGATAGAAAAAGTAAAAAGAGAAAAAACCGAACATTCTAATAAGGTTCATCCCTCCACCAACATAAACATCTTATTAAAATGGAAGGGCTAGGTAACACTTAATTTAGAACTATGCTACTTTACTCCTAATATGCATTCAAAAATATTTTGAGGTACTTGTCCGTCTGCATTGTGCATGCACCTCCTCAAGTTAGGTTAATACATTTGGGACCTCCCTTTTCGTTCCATATTAATTAAATATTTTTTTAAGAATGTTAAATTAAAAGTTAGTGGGTGCAAAGGTTCAGAGTCGAACTCCTTAGGACAATAAGGAGCAATCCAAACCGCTAGGTTACGACGGCGTACACGATCAAAGATCCTCTGATATTACAACACCTATGATATATGGTCTTTCAACCCAATTCATTCTGTTCTCAATACATTAAATCTACCTATTTTAGTCATATTTAATGTGTTGAAAAATTACTTATGTGTTAGACAAATTGCAGCGACACTTCAGCAGAGAATCCAGGTGCATCAAAGATGACCTTCTTTAATAAAGTGTTCTTAAAGAAGACTAAATATTGTAGTCTAATGATTACTACTTTGCCTTCCAAAATAAAAGGTTGAAGCTTCAAACTGAAGTGAGTGGCCGTTCTTTTTGGTTTTATTGGATTGTTGGGCCTTGTTGGAAGGATTTGCTCAGCCTATTATTCCTTTCTCACGTTGGACTTTGGACTTTTTCGTGCACATGGAGTTCAAATCAATACCTTTCAATGAATAGAGGCCACAAGATTTGTTGGTCAAAGCTAGGCCTTAAATCCATATGAATGCTTTTAGATTACCTATTTGTCCATTTCCTACCAAAAATAAAAAAATGTAAGACTTTCTTTAACCCACTTTTCAAATCTGGGTTATTATTAACGTGATGCAAGCATGATATTCTAGAAACCTAATTTCCCTGATATACAACACGGCCTTAATTTCATATGAATAGAATTTACGTCCAACGAATAATTATTAAAATTTTGAGGGCTTAAATGCCCCGCCTTCACCAGTAGGACACGTATACCTTGCTCATTAAAACTTGTTTTATTTACACAATTTTCTAGTATGGCAAGCAATAAAATGAGGCTGTTCTTTTATTAAAGTAGGTGGAATTTTTAAACCATGGGAAACTATCTATGCTACCATTTGTTACTCTTTACACGCTACGCAACAGATTGTCAATGGATTGATATACATCAAGAAATTATCACGAAGTCCGAGTTTTCAACAATCATCTTCGGAATATTCTTCAGTTTTTTTTTTTTTTCTTTTTTTTGGGCAAGTCAATATTCTTCAGTTTGACCTTTGAATTTCCCTAGCTTTCAACAATGAAAAGTAATACTTTTCAGCTCAATTAGTGATCTACATCCAAGACAAAATATGCACAGTGGTTATAAATAAATGAGAAATGTATTATTTGTGAATCAAAATATGGGGTTTTCAGCTTTTTGTGTACTCACACTCTCTTATATCCTTTTGGTATCCATTTCATTGGCAACTCCAAATTCTTCAGTTCATGAGAACTTTCTGAATTGCTTTTACTTCAAAACAAATCTTTCTCAGTACCCCAATTCCCAAGTACTATTCACTAAAAACAGTTCATCATATTCATCCGTCTTGCAATCTGCTGCACAAAACCTCAGATTCTCGACTGCTTCAACTCCCAAGCCACAACTTATCATTAAGCCAATTCATGAATATCACATTCAAGCAGCCATAGTTTGTTCCAAGAAACATGGCCTGCAATTACGAGTGCGTAGTGGTGGCCATGACTATGAGGGCCTTTCTTATGTGTCTGATGTTCCATTCATTGTTCTTGATCTTGCCAATCTTAGATCTATCAGAATTGATATAGAAGATGAGAGCGCATGGGTTGAGTCTGGTGCAACTATGGGAGAACTATATTACAGAATCGCGGAGAAAAGTAAGGTTTATGGCTTCCCGGCAGGTACTTGTCACACTGTAGGTGTTGGGGGACACTTCACTGGAGGTGGATTTGGTACCATATTCAGAAAATATGGCCTAGCAGCAGATAATGTCATCGATGCTCGGATAATTGATGTCAATGGCAGAATTCTTGACAGACGATCCATGGGTGAAGATCTATTTTGGGCCATCAGAGGAGGAGGGGGAGAAAGCTTTGGAGTCATCCTTTCTTGGAAAATAAAATTGGTTCCTGTTCCATCCATTGTGACCATTTTTAATGTTCAAAAGAGCTTGGAACAAGGTGCAACCAAGCTTCTTTACAAGTGGCAAACCATAGCAGATAAATTCCCTGAAGACCTCTTCCTCCATGCCATCATAGGAGTTGTTGATGCAAGTCAAAATGCAAATAAAACAATAGTAGTTTCTTTTGATGCTTTGTTTCTTGGAGGCGTTGAGGAACTTCTTCCTCTAATAAACCAGAGCTTCCCTGAATTAGGTTTGAATCACGGTGACTGCACCGAAATGAGTTGGATTAAGTCTGTCCTTTACTTTGCCAGCTTCTCAATCCAGGAATCCCCTGATGTTTTGCTTAACAGGACTCAATCATCCGTTTCCTTCTTTAAGTCGAAATCAGACTACGTGAAGGAGCCCATTCCCGGATCTGGGCTGCAAGAATTATGGAAAATACTACTTGAAGATGAAGCTGGATATATGATCTTTACACCTTATGGTGCAAAGATGAGCGCGATTTCAGATTCTGAGACTCCTTTCCCTCATAGAAGTGGAAACATTTACAAAATTCAGTACTCGGTTTCCTGGGGCACAGACAAGGAAACAAAGAAGCACATTTCCTGGATTAGAAAGCTATATACCTACATGAAACCTTATGTTTCAAAGTCTCCAAGAGCTGCTTATATCAACTATAGAGATCTTGACTTGGGAAGGAACAAGATTGGTAATACAAGCTATGCACAAGCTAGCGTTTGGGGTTTGAAGTACTTCAAGAATAACTTCAAGAGACTGTCACATGTAAAGACCAAAACTGATCCATCCAACTTCTTTAGGAATGAACAGAGCATCCCATTATTTTCATTATGGGAAAAAAAACAGGGGAACTAGAAATAGCATATCATGTCTGCCTCTATAATCAATAATAAAGTTATTATATTTGTCAACGATAAAATTAATGTTAATTCTCTTAAATAACTTTTTCCATGTCAAATGTCTTGTATCATGTTGGGAAGTCTTGCCAACATTTGGCTCCATCAGTATGCGGATTCCATGTTTCTTGAGGTTGTCATGTTGTACTCTCTACAAGCATTAAGACCAATGTATCGGCCTTTAATACATTTTTGATGAATTGGAAGAGGTATAATGGTCTAAAAGTTACATGATATTTAGATTACCATATTGCCTCATCATATTGCAGTCATTGCTTATGTATTAGAATGATAGTTTTAACTTTGATTTTGAATTTAGTATTTATTATTTCATTAATTTTATAATATACTAACGCATTTTATGTAATTAAATGAATTTCTGATTCATATTGTTATAAAATAATTCATAAAGCAGAGATAGAACAAATTCTGCAATCCAAAGAAGAAAGTTATTTGGAAATAGCAACTCAGACTCAGATAGAACAAATTCTGCAATCCAAAGAAGAAAGCCATTTCTTTACATTCAATATACTCTCAACAATAGATGAATACATAGAGTTGAAAACAATAAAATAAGAAATTGAAAGATTTAGTTGAAATTGTTCATCCGGAAATTAACAAAAAATTCGAACTTAGGCTACTTCTAATGCAACAAGATCTTAACTTCAACATTTCATGATTTTAGTTTATTCACGAATGATACTAGTTCTAGTTCTTCATGCCAATTTATGCTTCCAGAAGTGACTGCAATTCAATATTCTGGAACCTATACAGCAAATGGTAGAAAGAACTAACACAGAATAGAGCATGACAGTAGATTACACACAGCTCATCTCTGTTCATCACGTAGCACTTCCTAGTTTCCTAGATCAAATCCATCAAAACCCCAATTCTGTAATACTTTTGAATTTAGTCATTTTCTATTTTTTCCAAAAATTTTCTCATTGCAATGGGCATTTCTGTCTTTTGTTGTTTTTCGTATTGAACAATGTGGAGTGTGTCGGTTGTGTCCGATAATTAGTTGGGACATTTCATTGAGTCAAGACTCTTTGCAATGTTAAGGTTGCCATTTTTGAATTTTTTTGTTTTTCGGGCCAATGGTCCCGTGTGGGACCCGCTACAGGAAATTGTTGCGTACGGAAATTTTCATTGGGTCCATTTGTATCATATTTATTTTATTTAATATATTTTAAATGATTGTGAATTAAATGTGTATAGATATATATGTGTGGGGTGTAAAATGAAAACAAAAGAAAAAGGAAAAATAAAATAAAAATTGGTGGGACCCACCTTAGCCTTTTAAAGTGAATTAGAGACCACTTGGGTTTCATTTTTCAAAGTAAATTAGAGACCACTTGGGTCTCATTTTTCTCTCATTCCCGTAACTCTCTCTTACCTCCTCTCTCTGGAATTTTCTTTTTCCTTTGGCCTTAAATATTTAGGCTTTGATTTCTCCTTCAATACTTAGAATTTTTGGAAGCCGTTTGCGGCAATTCGAAGAGCACAATGAGATCTTCACATCCATGTAAGCAATTTCAGGTTTAGTGCACTCTAGGGATTCCGGTTTTGAGACCCATTTGAGAGTATTTGGCTTAATTTGAGATAGGAGTTTCTAATTCTCACTTTCTTGCACCTTTGTAAGTTTTTCTATTAAAATTGTTGTTATGCATGCTTAATTTGAGTTGGTTGTCTTTTAAATGATTTAATTATGTATATAAAGCATGCAACTATGTGTATTGTTGATTTACATAGAAAACATGCCTAAGTGTTGATTCCTTATGTCTATTGGGTGTTAACTTGCTAGAAATGTGTATATGAAGCATGTAATTGTGTGTATTACTTTGTGTAATTATGTGTATTACTTATTTGGATGGAAAGCATGTTTAAGTATTAATTTACCATGGTCATTATGTTAATTTGCTAGAAATGTTATGTGAGAGCATATGAAATTTTCTTGTGTAGTTTAAGTTAAAATTGTTGAAGAATGATGAATACACATGTATGGCATGACACGTCCATGCATGAGCATCGGAGGAACATGGGAATAATTTGTTTGAAATGAAAAAGGAAAATTTTGGAAAGAAGTTCTGATTAAATGATTTTGAGAAAACCCGATCGCCGTAGAGTCACCAAAGGGCCGGTGTGTTAATGTAACCTAGAGAGAATTAGGAAAAAATACCTTAGCGTGGTTGAGCTAGCTGGGCCCCAAATGACGCCTCGGCGGTACCAAGGGTTAGGGACAGTGGCCAACCCTTCTTTTGTGTCGCTGCAGAGTCACTAAAGGATGGGTTATATTAGCAGTTTGTGAAGAAATTGATATTTTCTGAAAATGGAGAATGACATGCATAACATTGCATTCATGGCATGACATTTGCTTGTTTTGAACTTGGAATTGATATTATTTTTTTTTTTCCGGCTTAGCATGACCCGGCTCCCTATTGTCCTATTCATTGTTTAGATTCACGGGGTCACAAGAGGTGTGTCTTAGGCACCACTTAAAGCTTTATGCTCACCCTATCATTTAATATATTTTTCAAGATACGGAAAGGAGGTGGCAAACGACCATCCACCATAAGTTTAGACGGGATTGAAAATTTATATTTTGCTACTTTTGTTTTACAACTTTAATATTTTGTAAATGTAAATTTTGACTATTCTGTAAAACTTGAATATAAAAAAAAAAAATGCTTTGATACCAACTTTGGAATGACCTAAAAAGATACCAAAATAATAATAATAATAAAATATAAAAAAATTCGGCATGACTTCCGCAGAAACGTCCCCCTACAACCTGTTAAAAAACATAAAAATGCAATGGCCTCACTGGACCTTAAAATTAATTTATTATGTCCCAACGCACAATACCAATATTATATCACATTCCCAAAATGATCACATGCTTATAAAAATCCAGTTCCTCTATCTCATCCAAACAAGGAACACAACTTAGTTACATCAAGTTACAGTCCATAAATGTACCTAAAATTTTAATGTCCATAACTTACAACATTACACCAATTAAATTAAAGTTTCACAAAATAGTTAAGATTACATTTACAAAATATTAGAATTCTAATAAAAAATATAGCAAAATAAAATAGGTCTCCAATCTCGTCTAAACTTGTGATAGATCGTCGTCAGCCACCTCGTTTACGTGTCCTGAAAAATGTTAATAATAAAGGGGTGAGCATAAGCTCAGTAGGAAGTGTTTAAGATACACTTCTTATGACCCCGTAAATCTACGTATAGAATAGAAAACAAGAGAACGGGATCATACTATACCGGAGATGTATATCATAACCACAACATCCAATATAAACACATATGCCATCCAAGTCAAAAACACGCCATGTATGCCAATGAAGTGTAATGCCATGCTTATGTCGCTCCCCATTTTCGAACGTTTCAACATCCAACCGTTAGTGTAATTCGACCCAAAGCACCTCCGAGGCGTCACGAGGGAGGGGTTGGCTAGTTTTTCCCCAACCACATGCCACCTCCATAGCGTTGTCTGGGTAGCTCAACCATATTAGAGTCTCTCTTTAATCCCCCTCTAGATCACACTAACACCACAGACCGGCCACTTAGCGCCTCCTAAGCGTTCTGGTTTTCGCAAACGCTTTTAGAAAACATTTTCCCAAAATTTAATTTCCTTTATTTTGAAAACACTTTTCCCATTTCTCTTCCCAATGGATGAAAGAAAGCTCCATGTTTCAAATTGTCAATTCAACAATAAAATTTTCACATATATTATCCAACATAATTTTTCCAAAACACATAACCCATGCTTTCAACCAACATCAATTTAACATGGTAAGCATGTAAAACATAAATTTAACTTCACATAAGTATATATATAATCACTACACAACAAGTAACAAGTAGTCATGTGTTCCATAATCGACATTTAAACTAGTTTTGCAAGAGATTATATAAATTGAGCATGCTTAACATCAAATTAAACAAGAAAACTCACAGAAGCACAAGAATTTTATGTATTAGAACACCCTTACCTCAATTTTATAGAAAACCCTCAAAATAGGTCTCAAAACTCGAAATCCTAGGGGAGGCCAAAACTGAAATTGCTTGTACTCACACGTGATCTCGCCGTGCTCTCCGTTTTGCCGCAAACGGCTCCCGAAAACTCCAAGAAATGAGAGATTAATTAAAACTTGAGTTTGTAACAAAAATAATAATAATAATAATAATAATAATAATAATAATAATAATAATAATAAAAAGAAGAAAAAGAAGAAGACAATGAGAGGGAGAGATTTACGGGAGAAAGGAAATAAGAGACCAAGTGTGGTCTTTAGACCACTAAAGTGATAATGGTGGATCCCCCCACTTACCAAAATCCCATTTAATTGATTTTTTTTTTCACCACAAATATATATACATGTGTACCAATTACTACAACCACACAAAATAACTTATAACATTCAAATTGTACACAATTTATAAACATTACATTCTCCCGAACTTTAAAAGATTTCGTCCCCGAAATCTACCCTCCTTAAGAAGAAGGGGACCCACAGCCACACACCTTCCCTAGAAATGCCTCACCAAACCGCAGAGCTAAGAACTCAACAACCTTGTTACCTTTGACACCCGATGCCAATAGGCAATCACGCACTGTCATCAGAAAAACGCAATGCTCACCACCCTATGAGGGTACTCATCACTCACAACATCATAACAGCAGACCATTTGGTACGCCCTACGCTATACCCTACTCAAAACGGACATCGGTCCACTCTGTACTGCTACACAAGACTTCGAAACTCAAAAAAAAGAACAGTCACAAAACCCCTGAACATAACAACATCCTATCTCAACTCATCCTTTAAAGGACACACAAAATCCCAGACAAGGAATCCCATCTATCACACAATCAAGCTCAAACTCAAATCTACGCGTCCCTGTTAAACCAAGCACTCGTTATCCACCGCATAGCTATACTACCTCACCATACGACAATCATCATACTAGACAACTTCAAGAAGACAAAACAACAGATTTTCCCACGACTACATAATCATGAGTCACCATAACAATAAAACGTACTATCATGTATCCTGAACACAAATCCTCAAAACGAGATCCTCAATAATCAATGTTTGTACCATAAACCCGTTATCGGACACTTGGTCTTACCTAACACATTTCGTTACCCAAGACAACTAC